GATGTTCTTCATTTAGGTTGTTCTTAATGCTAGTTCTAGAGTAGCTAACTAGAACTTGATTATAGGATAATAGGTATTTGATCCAAGAGGGCACCTGTTACTGGAACTACCTTAGATGAGCCTGGTTTATAGGTGTGTAATAAGAATCGGCCTATCTACTAAGGTGAACATATCAAACCTGAATTTAATGCTAGTTTAGATCTAGGAATTCGCATCGAGAGGTGGAATTACTGATATTAGACTTGTTAGTTAGCGCATCGAGAGGTGGTTAGCTAGTCATTAGTGATTTGAGTTCTAGAACGGTTCATTAAATAATCCTAATTAATTTGCTAGATTTACTATTAGTTTATTTCCTGAGAATTTCCCTAAACCTTACACTTTAATCTATTGATCTTTTCACCTGAAATCATTGCTTGCTCTTGTTTTATTTTAATTCTTATTATTTTATTTAGCCTAATTTCGAAACTTATAACTTATTGTGTGAACAAAAGAACTTTGTGGAATTCGACCCTTAAGTGCTGCAATTGATCTCTTATTTGAGAGAGTAGGCTTTAGGATTCAATTTGACCTGTATCAAAAAACATAATTAGTAATTGCCTCCCCCAGATTTAAACGACACTGTCTCCAGTGGCATTCAAACTCGTAGTTAGTGAAAAATAAGAAATAATTATAAAAATAAAGTAATATAAAAGAAAAACGAAAAACATACGAGTGGGTTGCCTCCCACTAAACGCTTATTTTCAGTCATTAGCTTGACTATGTCGGGATCCAGGAGCTAGGACGAGAGAAGGGGTGGAAGACTTCTCAGAAGATCGACGCCTTGTCATCCATTGTAGAGTGTAAGCGTTGGAGGCGTGCTGCAGCGTCCTTTGTTCTTTTTCCTACATCAAAAATAGAAGAAACAAGCACTCGAGAATCTCGTTACTCGTTTACCGGGTGAAGCCTTCTTCGAAGATATGGAAGTATGAATTGAAGAAGTGAAAGGATAAGGAGGGGATGAGCACTACCTTTGCTGATGAAGGCGTAGAAAGCGGGGGCGAGGTGCTGTGTATGGTTCGGGAACAACTCCCGAACACTTGATGTTGTCTGCAGTCCCACGAGCAATGTTTCCAGAAATCCTCTTCTCTGCTCGTCGTTGGTGTCGATCGACACTCGTCTGTCTGAACGACAATGATTTGCAGACTGAGCAGTTTTAGGCATTGTTGGTGTAGTAGAATCTAATTCCTTTGCAGATTCCCGTATACATTTAACAGAGAAGGACTTACCACTGAGAGTTGGAGGTGTTTTTGAGCCATCCATGTCGAAATTCATCATCACATCACACACATCCAACGAAATATGTCCCTTCTTCACATCAATCTTCGCACCAGCTGTTGCTAAGAAATCTCTACCCAAAATAAGAGGATCCTTGGGTTCTTCATCGTAGTCCAGCACCACGAAATCAGCAGGTATGAAGCATTCACCAATCTTCACTAAAACATCTTCCAAGATTCCTTCGGGAATTCGTTAGAACGATCCGCGAGAAGCAAAGTGATCCGTGTTGGTCTATAAGCAGTCATACCGAGGTGCACAACAACTGAATGTGGCATCAGATTGATCCTGGATCCAAAATCACAGAGCGATTGAGGGAACCGGCCTGTGGAAATAGAGCAACCAAGAACAAAGCTTCCTGAATCACGTAACTTTTCAGGCATCCTACTATGGATTATTGAGCTAACGTGTTCAGACACAACCACCTTCTTCTTCTTCTCCTTCTTGGCCTCTTGCAGCATAATTTGACTGATGTCATTGGTGAGCAACGCAGCTTCTGCAGCACATATTCCATTGTTGACCAATCTCTTGACATACCGCTCAAGTGATGGAGAAGATGTCTCAGGATTGACCTTAGGAATTGTAATCAATATCTTCCCTATGATAGCCTTGCATCGCTCATCTTGAATCACCTGCTTAGAGCGACGCTTCTTAGGAAAAGGGACTGGAGGCGTGTAGACAGGTTTCGCAGACGGAAAAACAGTTGCATAAGGACATGTGCGGACCCAGTGTCAATCGAGACTAGGTGAGTGTCGGTCAACACTCTGAGACGGTGTCTACCCCTCTATATCGTGCTCGACATCCCTCATAACGATCCACTCGTCATCACATTAGCGATAGGAGACCATGACATTTACCGAGTATTAGTCGACACCGGCAGCACGATCGACGTGATCTTTCGCGAAACGCTGACAAATGAACATCGACATGTCACAGGTAACTCCGACCCCGTGGCCAGTCCTCGGCTGAAGATCTACCTGGAGTAAGCATCGACGTAATCTGCCACGAGCTGAATGTTGACCCATCTTTCAAGCCCATCAAACAGAAGCGAAGAAAATTGGGTCGGGATCGCGCAGATGCCGTGAATGCCGAAGTAGAAAAGCTCCTGAAGATCGGCTCGATCTCCGAAGCAAGATATCCAGACTAGTTAGCGAATCTTGTCGTGGTAAAAAAGAAGAACGGCAAGTGGAGAGTCTGCGTCGACTTCACCGACCTGAACAAAGCTTGCCCTAAAGACAGTTTCCCGCTCCCACATATCGATCGCTTAGTGGAAGCAACTACGGGAAATAAGTTGCTCTCGTTCATGGATGCTTTCGCAGGATACAATCAGATTCTCATGCACCCTGACGATCGCGAGAAGACAGCATTTATCACAGACCGAGGTATCTACTGCTACAAAGTCATGCCCTTCGGACTCAAGAACGCTGGCGCAACGTATCAACGGCTCGTCAACAGGATGTTCTTCGAGCAGCTCGAGAAAACGATGGAAGTTTATATCGACGACATGCTAGTCAAATCCTTCGAAGAAAACGACCACATAGCTCATCTACGCGACTGTTTTTGCCAGCTTAATAAACACAACATGAAGCTCAACCCGGCAAAATGTCGTTTTGAAGTAAAATCAGGGGAATTCCTTGGATATCTCGTAACTCACCAAGGCATCGAGGCGAATCCAAAGCAAATCGATGCTTTACTAAACATGCCCTTGCCGCAGAACAAGCGAGAAGTTCAACGCCTCACCGGGAGAGTTGCAGCCCTGAACCGATTCATCTCCCGTTTAACCGATAAATGCCTGCCTTTCTACGATACTCTGCGTGGAAACAAGAAGTTCGAATGGACCGATCGCTGCGAAGAAACTTTCCAGGAACTAAAGAAGTATCTGGCTAATCCACCGGTGTTAGCAAAACCAGTCCCAGGCGAACCTTTGTTCCTGTACATCACCGTCTCAGACACAGCAGTAAGTGGGGTCATAGTCAGAGAAGACAGAGGAGAACAGAGGCCAATATTCTATGTTTCGCAAACCTTCACCGACGCAGAAACACGCTACCTGCAAACTGAAAAGCTCGCTCTCGCCGTAGTGATATCAGCTCGGAAACTACGGCCGTATTCCCAGTCTCACTCAATCGTCGTCATGGCACCCATATCACTCCGACCCATCTTGCACAGTCCGAGCCAATCAGGACGTCTGGCCAAATGGGCAGTAGAACTCAGTGAGTATGACATTAGATACAAAAACAAGACGTGCGCAAAATCTCAAGTCCTGGCCGACTTTATCATCGAGCTGCCATCAGAAAATGCTCGAGAAGATTTGCCCGACGCCGTCTGGACCCTCCATGTCGACGGCTTGTCCTCAAAGCAAGGCTCAGGCGTCGGGATTCGTTTAGCATATCCGGAGGGAGAAATTCTTGAACAATCTTTTCGGCTAAATTTCGACGCAACTAACAATGTGGCAGAGTACGAAGCGCTGATAGCAGGGCTGAAGCTGGCTCGAGGACTTAAGATCAACAAGCTACGAGCCTTCTGCGACTCCCAGCTCGTGGCCAATCAATTCAACGGAGAATACGCGGCTCGAGATGAACGAATGGAGGCATATCTTGCCCTCACGCAAGACTTAGCAAAACAGTTCAGAGAATTCGAGTTAACCAGAATCCCACGAGGTGAGAACACGTCAGCCGACGCGTTGGCAGCCCTAGCATCAACCTCCGATCCAAATCTGAAGAGAATCGTACCAGTTGAGTTCATCGAAAAGCCGAGTATTGAAGACAAAAGCAAGGATCAAATACTAATGGCTCGGAAGACAGAAGACTCGGAAGAAGGTAATACCGAACCGCTGGATCAACAAGCTACAGACTCAACCAAGCCCGAATACGGAAGTGATGCCAAATGGATCGGAGCCATCCGAAGTTACATAGCCGACGGAGAAGTACCTACCGAAAAATGGGTAGCTCAGAAGCATAAGGCAAAAGCGGCTCGGTATACTCTGATCGACGGAGAGCTCTTTAAGTGGCGGTTCTCAGGACCCCTACTAATCTGTGTCAAAGGAAAGGAAGCTCGAAGAGTCATGGAAGAAGTACACGGCGGATCTTGTGGAAATCAATCTGGCGGGAGAGCCCTAGCTATAAAGATCAAACGACATGGTTATTTTTGGCCGACGATGGTCAAAGACTGCGAGAAGTTCTCTCAACGGTGCGACAAATGCCAGAGGCACGCACCAACCATTCATCAACCCGCCGAGCTACTCACTTCCATCATCTCGCCTTACCCCTTCATGCGCTGGTCCATAGATATTATCGGACCTCTACACAACTCCAAGCAGAAGAAACTCGTCCTCGTACTAACAGACTACTTCTCCAAATGGATCGAGGC